TCCTTGCACACCTAGCTCGGTGGCAGGCCGGGGAGGGCGGGGCCTCCGGAAGCCCCTCCCCTCCTCCTCCCCTCCCGCCTCTCATTGCGCCTCTCCTGCAGCCTGCGAGGCTCCCGGGCTCCCCTCTCCAGCTTCAACCTCCATCCCCCCCCCGGACTCCCACCCCCCCACACCCCCCCCTCTTTCGGTGACAGCCATCGGACCTGAGCTGCAGTCCCTCTGTCTGTCCAGTCGCATCCTTTTCTCCCTTCCCCTCCCGCCAGATCCTGACGGGTGCCAGATCCTGCGCCAAGATTCCGTAGCTGCACCACCATCCCCGACCTCGAGCTACATACACCATGGCTGGCCCCTTCTCCCGTCTGCTGTCTACCCGCCCGGGGCTCAGGCTCCTGGCTTTGGCCGGAGCTGGGTCTGTAGCTGCCGGGCTCCTGCTCCGTCCGGAACCGGTACGAGCTGCCAGTGAACGCAGGAGGCTGTATCCCCCGAGGTATCAGTGCTGAAGATGCATGGGGTGGAGTGGGGTGGGGGGTGGAAGAGGGGGTGATGGATGGAATGGAGATAGGAGGGGAGGGGATACAGAAGAGGAGGACCAGGGCAACCCACAAGAAAGCCCCTAGAGCTGGGGCAGGGACGCTGTACCATTTGGAGATCCCCGAGTTCTAGGTAGAGGGGGGCCAAATTCATCAAGCCGGAACATTTCTGGAAAGCTGTACATCCCAGGCATCCATCCATCCATCCCCCAAATCATCCCTGGCCCTAACAAACTCCAGGTGCACTCCCCCCCCCACCCCTGTCCCAATCCCTAATCAAAAGGTTAGGGGAACCATCATATTTTGCTCTCCATCTCCTTTTCCTGCTTTTCTCTCCATTTCCCCCCCCTATCTCTTTTTCTGAATTCTTCTGAGTCCTCCCCCCTCCCCCACCTCTAATGTGTTCATGGGAGAAAAGAGCTGTGCAGGGCTGGGTGGGGGGGGGGAGAGAAATCAGCCAGCCAGCCACAGGCAGCTAGGACTATTGGGAATGAATAGACCCTGAAAGTCCCTAAAGAGATTATCAAAGCTTAGCCTACCTCTAATTCCTCCTCCTCCTGAGGAGCAAAACCAGATATGGTTGGACAGCTCCCAGCAGACAGCAGTGCATCTAGTCTGGTCTCCTGTGCCCTCTCTCCATGGTTACTGGGTACCCCCACCCCTCCCCAGCGCTGAGTACCCAGACCTCCGAAAGCACAACAACTGCATGGCTAGTCACCTGACCCCAGCAGTCTATGCACGGCTCTGCGACAAGACCACACCCACTGGTTGGACGCTAGATCAGTGTATCCAGACTGGCGTGGACAATCCTGGTCACCCCTTCATCAAGACTGTGGGCATGGTGGCTGGAGATGAGGAGACCTATGAGGTAGGGGGGTCCCCAAGAGTCTCCCTGGGAAATCAGAGTCATCCTCCCAGCCATCCCAGCTCCTTCCCCCTATAATCAAACCCTCTCCTCATTTTCCTTCAAGATGCTGGATTGTCCATACTCAAGTTTTTTGACCCAGTGAAATCAATCCGCCATTGAGGTCTAGGGAGGGATTTCCTCTGTGTAACCGCCTTACCCTCTTCCCTTCCCTTCAGGTATTTGCTGAACTGTTTGATCCTGTGATCCAAGAGCGACACAATGGATATGACCCCCGGACAATGAAACATACCACTGACCTTGATGCTAGTAAGGTAGGCCAGATACTCCATTTCTGGTTTGTGTTGCTTTGTGGCCAACACTGGCTCTCCAATCTCTTCACCTTGACTATTTCCTGACTCATGGCTATTATACTGCTGAGCTTTTAATCTTGATATGGAGAAATAATTATAGCTTAAAGGAGTAGCAGATAGGAGAAGACCATGCCCTAGCTGCAGGTGCAGCTCAGTCAGTGATGTGAGTGCCTGCCTGCTCTCTCCACAAGCATGAAGCCGAGTTCAAACTCCTAATACCCAAGACCAGGCCCAAGGCAGAGAGGAAGAGCTCACAATGTCCACTTCTATAAGCGTGCTTCCTCTAAGGGACCACTCCTTCCCAAAACATGCTGTAGGAATGCCCAGTGATCCCTCTACTCCTTCCCCCAAGAACCTTCATTCCCCATCCATTGTGTTTCTATGACTTATATCCGTTTCCCTTATCCATTAGATCCGTTCTGGCTACTTCGATGAGAGGTATGTATTGTCCTCGAGAGTCAGAACTGGCCGGAGTATCCGAGGACTCAGTCTGCCTCCAGCCTGCACTCGGGCAGAGCGACGAGAGGTGGAACGTGTTGTGGTGGAGGCTCTGAGCGGCCTGAAGGGTGACCTGGCCGGACGTTACTATAGGCTCAGTGAGATGACAGAGGCTGAACAGCAGCAGCTTATTGATGTGAGGGGCTTTTGAGAGAGAGCACTGGGCAATGGGAGCAAGGGGAAAAACAAACCACAGGGGCGGTTGGGACAGACCAGAGAGATGGGCTCTGAGAGGCCCAGGGACTACTGTGAGAATTTCTAACCCAGATCCCTTGCCTCTCCCCAGGACCACTTTCTATTTGATAAGCCCGTGTCCCCATTGCTCACGGCAGCAGGAATGGCTCGAGACTGGCCAGATGCTCGTGGAATCTGGTATGGGGCAGTTCCTTACCTCCTTTGCCTCCTTCCCCCCCTCCTCCCCCCCCCGCCCCACGGCCATGCCCACAAAAGTGCTTTTTTCCCCCCCTCTCTCCCTTCTAATTTGTCTTGTGTCTTGATCCCTTTATCTCCTACCTCCAGGCACAACAATGAGAAGAGCTTCTTGATCTGGGTGAATGAGGAGGATCATACACGGGTCATCTCTATGGAGAAAGGTGGCAACATGAAGAAAGTGTTTGAAAGATTCTGCCGGGGCCTGAAAGAGGTTGGAGAAGAAGGGTGGGAGAAGGCGGCAGCTGGGTGGGAGGAAATAAGGAAAACCAAAGAGTAGCATACATACATTGACTATGTCATTTATCCACCAGTCCAGGACATTTCTGACACAGTTTTAAAAAAAAAGTCACCATGAATCACTCCAAAATAATAAGTATACACCAAGGCTCTTCTGAGGAAACCAAGTCCTATGTTCACCCTAAAAATAGAGAGAAAGATTGTCAGTAACCCTAAGAAAGTAAATGAAACAGTTGCCGGGTAATGAAAAAGAAAGTAACAGCAAGTCAGTGCTAGAGGTGTGTGGTGTGGTATGTGCAAGTAAGGAAAAATGTTTGAGCCTAGTTTAATGAATGGGGTGAGAGACAGCTATGTTTGTGATATTAAAGTATTCCCATAACTCTAAGCCAAAGTAGGCCTTGGCTGTGGATTCTATCATTCTTGCTAAAATATCTAGGCATTAAGCTAGAGTGTGAGAGACTGGAGAAGATGGCTCAAGTTCCAGAATGCAGATGAGGAGTGAGTTCTCAGTCCTATGTAGATGATGTATCTTTATTCTACAGTAGACACTGCCATGAAGCCCAAGTCTTATTAAATGTTCTCATATATGCAGTTTTATTCTGCATTTGAAAAAAAAGAGCTCCCTTTTTAGATTCTGAGTTTATAGTATTTGGGGCAAGTAGGGAAGTGGGCCAGGCGCTGGTGGCTCACACCTGTAATCCTAGCTACTCAGGAGGCTGAAATTTGAGGATCATAGTTCAAAGCCAGCCCAGGCAGGAAAGTCCGTGAGACTCTTATCTCCAATAAGCCACCAGAAAATCACAAGTGGCACTATGGCTCAAGTGGTAGAGCACTAGCCTTGAGCTGAAGAGCTGAGGGACAGCACCCAAGCCCATAGTTCAAGCCTCACAAATGACAAAAAAATAAAATAAAAAAGAGAATACTGAAGTAACTCTATATAACTCAGTTTTCT